AATGTTCTTGCCTTAGGATCTTTTAAGTATGTTTTAATTTTTGGAGTAAGAGGGACTGATGCATGAAGGAAACTGCAGTTTTCCTTTTTTTTTTTACCTCCTCTCTTTTTTAAGATTTGGTTTAGTTTGTTAATTAGTGTGGATAACGATTAAGAAGAGTGTTGTTTACTCTCGTCTTCTGACTGAGATTAGTGACTTAATTTAGCGCCTAACAACAACAACGAGGATGTTACTGTAGAAAGAAAGGAAAAAAGTGCGGTGATCGGGGTAATGAAGAAGAGTGTTGGAGGCTGTACTCACGAGAGAGAGAGAGCGGAGATCTTGAAAGAGGCCGTGACAGAGGCTGAGCCTACTAACAACTGCAAGAGCACTGGAGCCAGAATTAACCTCCAAAATGATGATGCAATTAGCTGCCCGCTCCTTTAAAGTCCAAATAAAAATTTCTAACGATGTGAAGTGCGGATATAGATTTTTTTTTAAAACTCTCGTCCTTAGAGAAGCGACAATTTTTTTTTTGACAAATGAGCCTCTAAGGGTAAAAGAGTCAAAAAAAAAAAAAAAAAATCGTATTGCTTTTCATCTGTATTTCTTGCGTTGAGTCCCAGCCATCGAACGAGAAAATTAAGGTGTTGAACCACCCCGTGCTTGCTGAGATTCAGGCGGCAAGTGTAGTAAACACGGACATCACTCAGTGAGTTGAGGTTACACATGAGAATGAGAGAACCCGGAGAATAGGCTAAATTAAGATCTCTGCCCTTGTTATAATGCAAGATAAAAGGCCAAATTGCGCTTGAATGTCCTATAGTTTCACTAACCTTGCGGTTCGGTGTTCCTCATTTTAAAACTGCGTACTAAAATGCCCCCAGAATATTTAAGTGTTGCACATAAATGTTGCACTTTGGTCCCCTTGTTTACCCACTGTACCATATAAATACCCTCAGTTTGTAAATAACCTCACTTGAATACCCTAAAACTTCTAAAAGTTTCACTTTAGCACCTTCTGTTATGTTTAGTACCTTGCGTTATGTGCTATTCTTGGATACGTAGTGACAAGTTACGTCGTTTGGGTTTTAACTATGGGGCATTCATCTGCAATAATGAAATACTTCCGAGGCTTTTTTCCCCTGCTTAGTTTTAAAGGAGGAGTCACTTAAATGCAAGATTAGTGAAACTTTTGGGCATTTAAATGCATTTAGACAAGATAAAAAAAAAATGTGATTCTTCGTCCAGGGTCTGTAGGCAGTTGATAGTTTCACATCAATAACAATTTTCCTCATGGCAAGTAGAGTGAAAAGGAAGCACGCCCCTTGTTGTTCCCTGTGCTTCTGTAAGGGGCTGTTTGTTTGGGGTGAAACGAGCAGAAAAGCCCACAAACGAAAACCGACAATGGTTAAATTGTCAGTTTTTATGGTTTCTAGGTGTTTGGTTCGTTTTAAATGACCAAAAAATGTAGGACATAAATTGTGAGACACGTGTGATTTGGGGGAAAGTGTGTTTCCATCCCCAAAAGGCCGACTTCACTGGAAAGTGAATAAAAACGCAGTTGGCTTTTTTCCCTCTCCTTTCACCCTAGGTTTACGATCA